GCCCGAAATCAGTTTTCTCGAAACAATGAATCCTTTCAGAAAAATTTTCCTTGATACGTCGCTGACTTCCATAAACTTATTTTCAGAGTGTGTGCACTCACAAAAAAAAAACAGCTGTTTGCTCGCACGAAGTTTTACATCATCTTTTCAAAAGAAAATTAAAAAAGAATCTTTTGCTGGCTATAGATTGATTGCACACACTTTTTTCAGCCAATCAAGGAAAAATTTATTATGTAAACAAATACAAAGATATAAGTTGCACAGAATGATTAAACATTTAACTATTTTTAGATTCATACACTAGATCATTCTTGTCAGATGTGTTCTTCAACCCTAGTCCAAACTTCCTAGGGAATTGATGAGTATTATCAGGGTCTCTCCAGAAGCCGCCATTGGAATTCTCTGAAAAATTCAAATCAATGAAAATTTTAGAGGGATTCACGACAGGAATTCCTCAGGGATTTCGCATTTTTTAGGAGACTCTCTGGTGATTTCGTTGGGAAGAGTCGACTAGGGAATACATAAATGTATCGATAACAAAGAAAACGCAATCTCTTTTGATAACCATTTAAATAATCTTGTCATTATTAACTGATGTTAATCTTCTAGAACGTATTGATCTTTTTTTTTTTGAGCTTGCTCTTGTTCTAATCTAATCATTACTGATTTATCAGTCTCTTGAATGTAAGTGAAATTAGTCAAAGATTTGAGTAAAAACAACTAGGATTTGCCTAGGAGTCTATTCCAAGTATGATTTTTGAGACCATAGATGGTACTATGAAAACTATACTTTGACCTATGAAACATCTGAACATACCATTGGATAAAGCTCATCTAGTTGCACTTGGAACAAGTTCCTAGATGAATCCTAACTGCTCTTACTCGAATCTTTGGCTAATTTCACCAACGTGTCTCTTGAATGTATCTTATTCAAGACCAAAGGTTTGGTTGTGTTGGACTATGATAAATCCCTATGTGATTCTTCGTCTTCTAATTAAATCGAATAAGTTCCAAAAAGATCTAGGATATAAAGCTTCTTCAATATATGTATGAAAAACTATAATCTGTTAATTTAAGAAATTACGCATCTAATTTATCGTCAAACTCGATAGAGATGATATTCTCTCTTGAATCGAGCTATCTAGACTAATTTTTGCTTGTTTCCGTAATGCCAACATTTTTTTTCTTCCAATTAAGAAAAATTGTCTGCAATCAGGATACGCTTCATACACACAATATTAATCTCACAAATGGAATTTTCGATTTTTCTAATAAATGAATAATTTCCAAATGGCAAACTGTCATTTCAACATATTAAAGAAAAAGATATGGTTCGGTTGTTTCACAACATTATATTTGCTTGAGAAATTTGTATGGAACCTGAAAAGTGGGTATTTTCTTCATCAATAATATAGAATCATTTCTAAAGTCCGCCAAATTGGTTTCAGATCCGATAGATTCTAGTCATTGAGAAATGTATACGGTGCGCTAGTCACCGAATACAAAAAAAAACTGGTGAAAAATTTTGAACGCGATGAACTCCAATCATTATTACCGTCGATGTTGTTTTTTGTCTTTTTACTGATGAACGATTTGAAGATTTATTTGTAGATGGTGATAAAGTTTTTCTCTAAAATGAAAATTATTATTTTTTTTTTTTATATTAAATTCTTTTTATTTACTGATTGTCGTGTTGTGATAGAAGGTTGTCGTTTTTTATTTGAATTATTTTCTATATGAATAAATAAAATATTCTTTTTTGTATAATTTTTAAAGTAAATATTACTTTCTGCTTTATTTAAAATATTCTTTAATATTTCAGCAAAATTTTCTATACGTTGTTCACGAGTTAATTTAAATGCTTGATCAGCTTCTTGAATAGCTTTATCCCTAATAAATATGAAAATTTCAAAAATTTATATTAAATATACAGTAAAACCTCTATTAGTGAACACCCCTCCTTTATGAACAACCTGTTAAAGTGAACACTCTCCGGTCCCACCGCGCGAATTTTGCTTGTTTTGCCTCCCTCCTTTATGAACACCTCGTGATTCTGAATGTGAACGCTTTTTTTTTGGTCCCCTGCGTATATATTAACCTTATCAATATGAACTCTAAAGGTGTCGCCACTTAAGAATATAATACTATTCGAGCGAAAGCGGTGAAAATTAATGAACTGATTGGTTATGTAACTTAATTCAATGGATACGTACGCAGAGAGACAATGAGCTGAAACACACTAGACGGACAATGAATCAACTTAAATTGAATTAAGCAATGTGATTGGTGTATTGACATTTAAGACATCTTCTTTTTCAGATGATTTTAATGTTAATACGCCAATCATATTGTTTAATTCAACTTTAGCGCTAATTCACTTCTTTAGGGGTCAATCACACAGAAAAAGATAAAACAAATAAAGCGACGCGATTGGTCTATTCCGACTTAAATCGTCTTTTTGAGATGATTTATTCGTTAATTCTGTTTTAATTCACTTTGAATTAGTCGGTGTGATTGGGGCCTTAGTGTGTTTTAGATCAATAAGAAAAAAAATAATCAGATGACTATTATTGATATCATTGGTTTTTTAGACATATTTTCTGCCTTTGTTTTTTAGATATGTCACTTCGACAAACATTGTGAAGCAAAAATCTATTCTGGATTTTTTAAAACCTATTCAGTCAGGAATTGTACATCGTACTTAAACTAGTCTATTTAAAAAATGTAAAGTCTTAAAACTTATATATTCAAATAAAATAATTAAGTCTACTTAAACACTATCACTAAATGATTAAACTGCTCTTTTAATCTACATTTGCTTATCCCCCTCCTTTATGAACACTCCATTATACTGAACGTTTTTCGCTGGTCCCGACAGTGTTCATATTACACAGGTTTTACTGTATATATATATATGTTTACCAATCAACTCGTTTATTTGCAGTTACTTTAAGTTCATAACGATTTGCTAATGCTTCTTGTTCAGATTTTTTTGTTGCCTTAATTAAAAAATAGAATAAAATAAAAAAAAAACAGCAAATAAATAAACAAACATTTTGTACACATATTTGAGCTTGTCGAATAAATTCATCCAAACCAGAATAAGCTATTAATGAATTAGCATTTGTCCATGCATATTCAAAAGCAGGACCAAAAAAATAAACAAAATAAAGACCTACAACACTTTCGAAGTATTAGAATTAGAAATTAAAATTATTACGTTTCTTTGGTCGACGAGGAGTTTTAACTATTTTTGTATAAAGATTATCTTCGTAATATGAACCTAGATGAAAAATATTATATCTTTTTTTTTTTTCTAAATAAAATTTATGATTTACCATAAATGAGTGCAGGCCACCATGGATTACCTGCAACACGAACCCAGAAAATATCACCTAATTGAAATAATTCTGGTGGATCTTCTTCATCGATATCATCATTATCATTAACGAGTAATGATTCATTTTCTTTTGATTCTATACTTGGTTGTGTTTTTACTATTGATAAACGACATGATCGTTTTGATCGACGAGCTATTATGAATAATAATAATAATA